AAATCACGCCAGAGATATAGATTTTATATCTGTCCCCAAGAAATGTAACTCAAAATTCCATATCTATCTTAGATATCTCGTAAAAAATGCCTCCAAAAAATATCCACTGTGCATGATATTGAAAAGAAGAAAAGATATAAATTTCAAGCGCGACAACTTCTAAGAAAAATAGCGATGTTATCCGAAAAAGCGACGAAGGGCCGGCCACGGGCCGATGTCATCTGCAAGAATAGGTTGTGGCCGAGGGCGATCTGTGTGTAAAATACCCGACGACAAATTGTCAACCGATCATAGATACTGTATAAGTAGATAAGGCCATTTTCTGAACTAGATGACGAGGTTTCTTTTTCCACTGCAACCGTGGTGTATTTTAAAAGCCATTCTTTCACCCCCACATCCCTCAATGATCTCATGTTTTTAGCCTTCAAGGTGGGGGTGTTCACGCCTAGGGTTTTGTTGTGATTAATGGGACCAAATCTTGCGGAATATAAGAATTTTTTTTTCTTGTCGGGATCGTTTTCTTCGATTTTCGAACTTCGTTGATAGCTTTTTCTCTATTTTTTTTTTTTTTATTTCNTTTTTTTTTTTTTTTTTTTTTTATTTCCCTGTATTTTTACGGTCTTTTTAGTTTGACGAGAAATGTGATGAGAAGTTTTGAAGAATGGCTATAAGTATTGATAGCATTATGTCTTCGCCATTTTTCTTTTTTGCTTTTTCTGTCGTTGTGAAAACATTCGAGTTATGGAGTTAGCGTGAAATTACGCAATTGAGTAAGAGCCTGTTAGTAGGTATCTCTAAACGTAAAGTTCTGTAAATGTCTCTGAAAAAATTTACGTCAACGATATTTAAGTTAAATGATCGATGTTGGTTGAAAAAAATATTTTCCAAGTAAGGATTTGACCGACATTGATTTCTGACAACTCATATTTTCGATACCATATCATTCATATAGAATTAGAGAGACGCCGCTGAAATTATTATTTTTTAAAAATACTGATAAGTTCTATAAATGTCTCTGAAAAAAATTTACGCCAACCATATTTTTTTTTTTAAGTTTAGTAATCTGTATAAATGAAAAAAATACTTCCCAAATAAGGGATTGACAGATATTGATGTCCAACACCTAATATTTTTGAAATCATAACCTTCCTTTAAAATTAGAAGAATGCAGCGAGAATTATATAAGAAAACAATAATAAAATACTGTAAATTTCTATAAATGCCTCTGATAAACGCTTACGTAAACGATACATTTTAAAAAAATCTAACAAACTATATGGCCACAAAAATATTTTTTAAAATTAAGATATTAGCAGTCATTGATTTCATAAAAGTATTCTCATAAAATTATAAGGATGCAGCTGAAATTATTCCTTTAAAATACTGCATTAAAGAAAATAATGTATATAATTAAATTGATAAGTAGAATTATGAAAATTAAAATTATATTTCACTATTTAAATATCAAATTTTATATTTGTTTTCATTTATTTTTAAAATTATTATTTTTTTATTTTTAAAAATAATAAAGTTAATGTATTTTGTTTTCGACAATAAATACACTCTCTACTGTCGATCGTATAAAACAGTTTATATATATTTACAGTTTCTTTTATGCTGTAAATAAATAAATTTGATGGATAGCTATTTGTTATACATCCACGATTTGTATTTTTCTTCGCACTTCTATGTTTTCGAGAAAAAGAAATCTATATTATGTATATAATTAAATTAAGAAATGTACAAATTTGAATTAATATATAAATGAGTATTAAAATTACATAAATTAATGAATATTTAAATTAATGAATATTAAAATTATATAAATTTGCATTACATACATATAAATATTTAAAATATTGAAGTTTTATATAATTTTGATTCTTAACAAGAAACATGTTCTCTACATTCGACTTGTATTATATTATTTAATATGGTATAAGTTTAATATTTATGAAAAGTTATGAAATGTAACGTTTTATACAGTTATGAAAAGTTTCATACAACTTCGATGTAAATTTTTCGCCTCCTGAAAAAAAGTAAATGTGATTGATTACGATTTATGATCTATGGAATTTTTTCCATGTTTCCATATTTTTTAAATACATTTTCAAAAACCTAAAAATATGATTTGGTTTCATCCGGCATGAATCACTTTACAATTTTTACCCTTTCCCCTTTATCACAGCTACTTAGCTAAAAGTGGCAAAGGTGATCCTTTTTTACTTAACTAACTTTCCCTTTTTATCCCTTTATATTCAAAAGTGGTTTTCTTGGCGAACCTTTGCTTCCGGGCGTAGGAACACACACGCCAAAACTTCCAAAAAATTTTTCTTCACTCGCTTTTTCAACACCTGTAATATTACTCGAGTTTTGTGCTGCGGTAAGGGATGTAAAAAAGAACAAAGGACAATTTTTTGAGGATTTTTTTTCTTTTACTTTCTCATTTTTCTGGTTTTACTTAGTGGAAATATTTGTCTTGGATTATGTTCTATGTTTGCTTATGAGTCGTTTGGATAAGAGTAAAAAAATTTGCGNAAAAAAAAAAAAAAAAAAAAAAAAAAAAAAAAAAAAAAAAAACTTTGTAAAATAATTTTTGCAAATTTTCTCCTTTGTTATAAATTTTTTTATGTTGATTCTTTCTGAGTTTGAACCAATCTGTATTCTAAACTTTGTTTATTGTTGGTTTTTAAGCAATAATATTTTTTTCCGTGGAATTTTTGAATTAGCTATTGATTGTAAAGTTTGTTTGCATAGATTTTTTTTTCTTCAAAAAGATACGATTTATTTAGTCCCAAGCTGATGTATTCTAAACACGATTTCTAAAGAAGTCCTTATCTGTTTACATTTTAGTGAAAAGCTTGTAAACAGAAATAAACTTTAAATACATTTTAAGCTAAGTCTTGAAAAAAATAGCCTTCTGGCGATGCAACGGAAAGTGTAAAAGAAAAAACAATAATTCAATGAAGTGTATTTAGATATACGCAATTTTATTGGCCGTTGTATCTTCGTTCAATCATATTCAAACTGTTTATTTAGAGATAAAAAGCCATTTCACATATTTTTCTAAAGAGTAACGTAATCTATTTCTGTAGTTCATTTAAAATTTTACTTCATGAATGCAGTTATATACATAGAATAAAAATTTTGCTATTCATTTATAAAATGGAATTTTAAATGAACAATAGAAATAGAATACCGGTTTATTTTGAACTATTGCTGTTCACAAAATTTTAAATTCTAATGTTATACCATTTATGTTATTCCCCGCTATGATTATAATGAATAATTTATATATANATTAAATATATATATATATATATACTAAGAAACGCTAAACTGAAAAAATAAAAACCTGTTTGATTTCGGAAAGAAACAGAATGGAATTAAAAGACGATTATAAACTGAAAGACTTCGAAAGAAAGAAGATTATAAACTGAAAGACTTCGAAAGAAAGAAGATTAAGAGCTGAAAGACGATTAAGAGACTTTTCCAAGTTTCATCTGGCAATCAAACTGGTTTTAGTGTTTTTCAATCCACTTTCCTCAATTGTGATTAGACAACTTTTATCAGTACTGTGGTTTCTCGTACATAGCTTAAATGTTAGTTTCGAATTATAGAGTGCACATATTTTTTGCTTTGTTTTCGACAAGAATTCTAAAAATATATGTTACGAGCGTTGATTACGAAACATTGTTTACAATAATTTTATTACTTACACTGTTTAAAACAAAACTAAATATAATTATTTTATAATTTACTCTGTCTAAATTTCATTGTCAAAAAACTATTTTTTAATTGTAAAATTGAAATCATTAGTTATAGCATAATGATACAGCAAATCACAAATATAATATAGCAAATAGCAAATCACATAGCTACTTAGAGCTCTGAAATACATGAAACTTTAATACTGAAGCTAAGAAAAGAATAATTGCTGAAAGATATTCTCTTATTGTTTATTTCTGTATTATATTCTTATTGGTACTTAATTGGTGATTAAAAACAAGATCTTTGCTTGAAGAAATATCGGATTAAATCATGGCGCTCCTATTAAACAAGATCTCTTATCTTGTATTACGGGATCGCGTATAATTATCCTGTATTCTTGTTTAGTATGTTCATTTCATATTATTGCACATATGTTGTGATTTGTCTTACCTTAACATTAATATGAAAAAAATTTCGATTTTTAACTATTTTCAAGTCTATACATTTAAAATATAATTGGTATTTTAAAAAATAAATATTTAAATATTATTGCAACCTGAATATGTGCTGTTATAAGCATACAAACTATTTACATGTTTAGCTATATATTCATATCTAATAGCTGTTATAAACATGCTAGCTATTCTTTTTATTGTACAAATTTTATGATTTGTCTTACCTTAACATTAATATAAAAATGTTTTCGATTTTAAATTGATTTTTTTAAAACCACACATTTAAAACTATAAGAGGGTTTTTGTAAAATGAATATTTTTACAATCTGAATATGTCCTGTTATAGGCATACAAGTTATTCATATTTAGTACACTTTCCAAAACTATTTTTTAAGGCTTCCCACGAATCTTATAAATTTTAAATAGTATAAATAAATTTACTTTAATAACCGTCTGTATTTCTTTTTTCAAGATACCATTTTAACGTTTAGGGACTTGGTTACTTCAAATTCTTATATAAATATATTTCTTTTAAAAATAATACGTAGTGGTGTTCACAAATTTATTTAAGCTATAGACTTTGGTTTAATTTTCATCAGCCCTTTTTAAAATGTATAAGACCAGCAAGGATATTGTATTTACATAATCATTAAATATTTTATAATGATAAGATCATGTTGAGCGATGATAATGTGATTATGTTGAAAGTTGATGATGATTATGTTGAGAGGTAAAGATCATGATAGATGATCACTGAGTTTATGCATATGTGTAATCTATAAAACTTTTGTACTTCAAAAAAAAATCTAATAATCTCAATTTTTGTTTTTGCAGGGATCTAAAGCTCACGGGATCAAGAGGTCCAGGGCGACCAATAATCACCACGGCGAGAAGCCGGGTATCGGTAACGATTCCAACATCCCTCCTCTGTTGATGATGAATTCGCAGCTGTTGGCTCAGCATCAGCTGCAACAGCTATTGCAGCAGCCATCGCCAACGCAGCTGCAGCAATTGCTACAGCAGCAACAGTCCATTTTCTTACAGCAGCAGCAACAGGTGAGATACATACTATCCGGGAAATGGAACGAATTTTAAATTAGTCGTTCAAAGCAATTTTAAACACTGAAAACCGAACTTGTAGGAATATATCCTGCCTTCAGTCTTTCATTTCACAAAAATAAAAGTTCTCTATGAAAGCGAATTTGTCGCAATACTTGGCTCCTTAGTTAGATTCTAAATTTCAAGGTTGTTGCTTTAAATACGCTACTAAGCTAATGTACAACGACAATAAAAGTAGAAATTACTGAAAAAATTTGGAGAGTTGGCTATTAATTTATGCGACTTTCTTTAGTTTTGTAGAAAAAATGGCCACTTCTGCATAATTGTAACAAACTTTGGCAAATTAGGAGCGTTAATTGTTAATTTATACGGTTATTATATGCAGCTTTTTAATGCAATTCGGGGTGTAACCATTTTCCATGAATGTTAGGATTAGGCTGTGGACTCAAAGGTGCTGGACTCAAACACTGCTGGTGCCAAAGAACATCTCTCTACAGTGTGTTTTACTCCACGACAGATGGCAACACTATACTATTTTGCCTTGATTCGGCAAACAAAACGCATGAATCTCAAACAACATCAAATTCCGAATGGAAGATAACTTTTAGGAGCGTAACATTAACTTATGATCAGTGACCAGATAGTTAACGTTAAAAAACAACCTTCAGACCCTTATTTTTATGATAATGATAGCTTTACGGGCATAAGTTTATTTTTAAGGTTGGTGAGTATACACTTCTTGCTGGTTACTGACCATAATCTAGCGGTAAAATTTTTTAAAGCATGGTAATTAGTTCATTTACTGCCTGTTATTATTTAAACCATGGGGTTATTATTTAAATCATCATAATATATCTATCGAACCATTAGTATAAAAATTTTTTGAAAATCTATTTTAATTCCTGTAACTAATCTGCAAATGTATTTCTAGCAAACTAATCTATTTCTATCAAAACTTTAAACAAGATTACTGTTTAACATGATAATTTTAACAGGGTGCGTAGCTTTTTTAAAAAGTGCTTAAAGATGCTTATTTTTGATTTACGTTTTTTAAAAGCCCTTAAAGGTGCTTTTTATATTCGAGGTTCGTAAAAAGTGCTTAATTTTTTATTTTTTAAAAAGAGATTTTTTTTTGCCGTATTGATTGTCGTTCTAAATTACAAAAAAATTCATGATTTTCACAATTTTCTCTGCAATATTTATCAGAAACTAATTGTTTTATCTTGATTACGTAAAGTTTTTTTTTTTTAATATTTTTGAATTTTATTGCTTTTATGTTTATGAACTAAGTACTTTAAGCGATAGAAAAAAAGTAATTTTTATTACTGCTCAGATCCTAATTAAGATTTTTTTTTTGGAATGTGAATAAAAATATTTTTAGTGTTTAAAAGGTGCTTATTTTTTGTTGGAAAATCTGGCTACGCACCCTGTTTAAACATGATTAATTTCAGCAGCAGCATCAGCAACACCAGCAGCTAAAACAACTTGAATCCGTGATACCTCACATCCAAGAACAGATCAACCTCAATATTATGCAGCAAAGCCAAATTCTCCACCAACTCAATGGGCTGAATAATGGCTTGCCTGGTCTTGGTTCTTCTGATAAGAAAGCGAACCGACAGCAGTTGCAACTTCAACTACAGCAGCTGGCACTTCAACAACACCAACTAATGCAACAGCTACAGCTGAGCAATAGACAATATATGATAAACCTCCAACCTTTCATGCTTCCGCAAGGTAAGGTTTATGCTTACGCAAGGTTTCTTCTAAAAATTCTAACTACTCTTCATAGAATAAACTAAAAAGCTAATGAGTTATGCTAGCTTTTCTTAAAATTCGTTTAACACTTCAGAAAAAAATGAGTTCGTTCTGGTAAAACATTTGGTATTTACGTATTAACGCAACCAGGCCAAAATTCGCATAAATCGCCAAATTTGGCGACCCTACTTACGGCAACCCTACGTGTTATGCGTGGTTTTTCGTAAAGAAACAAAATAATAATAAATAATTTTGTTTTAATAATAATTTGATAATTTTAATAATAATTAATTAATAATAATTTTGTTTTAAGTAATTTTTAAAAAATAATATAAAAAACAGTATTAAAAATTGTCTGTAATTAATAAATGTACATTTTCTTTCTATTCATACTTTCTTACTCAAACTTACAAATCGCGCCAACCTGGTTGCGATAATACGTAAGTACCAAACATTTTTTTACGAAGTTTATAAGATAAAATATTTGATTGCATCACACTCTTAGCACGATGCTTATTAATCAACGTAGGAGCAATTTTCTGTTTTAAATTAGCAGCAGGTCGGGATAGCCTGGTTGCCAGGGCGTTACTCTTTAGTCTCTCATAAAATAGTTTCCCCTCTTATAAATAGATGTCAGCACAATATTTCTATGTTACTTAAAACTTGTGGAACGCTTCAAAAAAAAATAAGTGGAACATTTTAACAGCGGCTGGGTAAAAGGAGAAATGTCTACTTTTAAATAAATAAATAATATCATTTCTATAATATTTTTAACATTAAAATATTTCAATATTAAAATAAACATTAAAATATTTCAAAGCTTCTTAGATCATTTATAGCGTGTAAAAATAATTCTGGTAGCTTATTAAATTAACATTTTTAACTGTATAAAATGTATATTTTTGTTGTATGCATCATATATAACAATGAAAAAATTACTTATTCATCATAAGTACTGAATTTTTTGCACCGATTTATGAATATTTTAAAACTTTCTAGCAAACTTTTGATGATCGAAAATGTTTTGAATGCATTTTTTATCAGTAATTTATTTTGCGTGCAATGTGAGAAAATTTCTACAGATCAAAAATAATTCAGTTCATGATGCCATTGAAAGGAAATATTAAATATTTTACTTTTTAAAATAGTTTTAAATAGTTTCATCTCTTATAAATAGATGTCAGCACAATATATTTGATGCCAAGTCACTGAAACCTTATGAAACGTTTCAAGAAAGTTAATTAAACATTTTAACAACGTCTACATTTAAAGAAATGAATGATAATGTTTCTATGACATTTTTTTTTTTACATTAAAATATTTCACAGCTTCTTAGATTACTTATAGTGTGTAAAAATTAACCTGGCTGTTTATTAAATTCATATTTTTAACTAAATAAAATTTATATTTCTTTTATTGTATACATCATATAACAAGGAAAAACTATTTGTTTACCAAAATTATTGTCTTTTTTATACCAATTTATAAATATTCTAAAACATTTAACAGAATTTTGATGATATTTTGAATTTATTTAATTTTTTTATCAATACCTTATTTTGCATGCAATATGAGAAAATCTCTAAAAAAATTCCACCAATCAAAAATAATTCAATTCATGATGTCATGGTAAAGAAATATTAAATATTTTACTTTTAAAAAAAAATAAACCATTTGCTATATGATTAAAAGTATCCATGTGAAACAAAGAGTTTCGACCAAAAACAAGTAAAAACCAAGCTTAAAAAAACCTTTTAGCAAATCAAACTTCTTCATATTTATGATAATTTAATCCGTATTTAACATGCTTTCGCTGCCGAAAAATATTTTTTATAACATCGATTAAAGTAAACTTATAATCTCAAACTCAAATCTTGTTCTCATATTTTAATTAAGTTTCTTTTATCTTTATAATACTCCCTGCGCAATCAAAGGTAAATAATATGTATTCGATACATAAGCTTACATGTACTTAAAATGTTTTTAAAAATATTGCATTCTTTTCTAATACTACGAAAGAAAAAGACTTATAAGAAACGGCACTTCAAATGTTTTAACTACTCATTTGGCGCAGATTTTGTTCATTAATACCCTTTTCTTTATCGTATTTGAGAGGTTTTTTTGGCGCTTTTTAAACTTTACACCCTTTTATTCATAAAAGCATTTATAATACATAAATATATCTCCTTTAATTCTTATAAGCCTACAGCATAATATTCTTAGACGATTCGGAAAAGGTTGTATTTTTGTGAGACAATTTTTTTAAAAAATGTAAGAAGTATTTTAAAGATAAAGAGAAAAAATAGCGGTAATAACTGATATTTATGAAAAATAACACCGAATTATAAGTTCATTAAGAATTAATGCTTTTGAAATTTCGAAGTTAAAAAAAATAAATTAATAACATTTTCGCAACCAGTGAATTAAGTACTTAGTACTTTTTTTAAAGTAAAAAGTGCTATAAACATATCATTTTCCTTTAATGGTATTACCACTTTTCTTTTAATGTGCTCGGGATTATTTTCATATTTTACATAAGGATTAAAAAATAACCATTGTTTACCCTGCTTTGTAAAATTAAAATTCTATTTTGAATATATTTTATTCCGAATTTGATTTTTTTTTAAAATAGGCTAATAATTACTTTGACAAGCACTTAAATGAACAAGAAACTATTTATTCCGTTAAATTGAACCTATTACTTTATTGTTATTTCCTTGTATTGAACCTATTACTCTTTGACCAATAAGTGTATTATAAATCAAAGCAATGAGGGCTTAAAATTTAAATCACTGTATCTTTTATTATACATTGCCCCGTTGATAGAAAGAAAATGAAAAAGAGGAAAAAAAATCTTGAACAAAATGAATAAAAATGCGAGATAAATTTACAGGAAAGGTTTTCGCGAAAAATTAAAAATTAAAAAAGTAAAAACCTGCCTCTCTAATTTCGCGATTTTAAAAGCTCTGGGATTAACTGAGAATCATCAATTGTGATTTTAATTAACAACTTTAATTTATTTACTCTAAAAGAATACCCCTACCGTTTGACACCCCGTTCTGTACTCTCCATCTCTCTTTATGTTCGTAAAGTTAATTTTTTCCCCCGTTCGCAAAAAATAATCGCAAATAAATAAATAATTTTAAGTCAATTAATGATTCAAGCTCTAATGCAAACGAAATGTTTACGAGATAAAGATGAGTTTGTCTAAAATATTTTTCTAGTTTTTTTCGTTTAACTTTTCTCCCTCTTAGCAGGTTAATCGCTTAATTTTTTTTCTGCATGCATATAAATCTTCGTACTTTTATCTTAAAACAGTTCTCAATGTTGATGAGTTTTTCAGAAAAACAAAAATGTTTTCTTTACGCGCAGTTTTGCTGGATAAATGATTTTTTTTTTCCACCCCGTGTTTGATTTTTATGTTTTGTTGCTTTTTAATGCTTACGTTTTGTTTGCGCTTAGTTTTTTCAGTTTTTTTACGTCGCGTTTCTTATTTTGTTTAAAGCAGCTCAATTAAGAAAAATGCTCTTTAGAGCTTTCGTTTACTAATTTGTTTTCGTTATGGGTGGATTTTTTATTGTTTTTTTTTTCTTTCGTTTATCTTCTTGAACGATTTTAAAGATTGCTTAACGCTGGAAAAAAAAACTTTTTTTCATTATTTTCATGCAAATTTACCTTTACTTACGAACAATGAATTCTTTTCATTACTATAGAGTCGTTTTGTCAAAAATAAAAATGCATAATCTTCTAACTGTTCAAGACACATCCTCTGTGATTACTGCTCTAATTTAATACTTTAATTTTAAAACCCTAAATAAGGAACACAAAAAGCGTTATTGTGAGTTATGTCGTTAGCAAAAACATGCTCATTTTGAATACCCACTGCGATTTGAAAAAGAAACTGCTTTTCATTAGTTTTTAAAAATAAGTTTTCAGTAATAAAAAAAAAGTTTTAGTCGAAAAAAACACTAGACTTAAGAAATCATCATTGAAATAATGTGCGTATTTCTTTTATGTTTTTGAGAAGAAGAAAAAAGACTTTTTAATACTGTTTTGCATGTTGACTAATAATTGGCCTTTTACAGTAATTTAAATAGATTTATAATTTAAAAGGAAACTGTATTATTTTTAAAGTTAATAAAGATTGCGTCCACATTGATTTGCATCAGAACTTTTGTCCCTTGAATTATTCTTGATTTTTACGTTATCTTTTAATTATAAAAAATTATTTTAATGATTCAGTGTTCTTATTTCTTTTGTTGAGCAATCGTTTCAACGAAGTTATGAAACAAACCTAATTTTAAAAAAAAAATGTGTTATAAATTATAATTAGAACTATTAAAGTCGAATTTCCGTTTCATATGCACTGAAAAATGAATACTCAATTTTCACCAAAATTTCTTCGTTTTTGACGAAACCGTTTCCTGATATATGGTCCGAGTGAATTTTTTGTCAAAGTTCCGATATAACTATTTTCATTTCTTCGAGGAAACTAATTTCGTCATTCTATTTTTTTCCCCAAAAAGTGCCTAATGTATCTAACCTTTCTAATTATCACTTTATCGTGGGTACCATGTAACTGGATCAATGTCGCCTTAACAGCACAAGAGGCACAAATAGAACTGAGAAATAAATTATACCCATGCCTGAAGTGAGATTCGAAGCCAGGATCTTCCTGGTACGAGGCCAACTCCTCGACCACCATCCGGTCCGGTTAGGTATTTTCGCTACTTCGATCGTTTAGTCTTCATCCTAGTTTCGTCATTCTAGTTAACAATCTGTTGCAATGCATTATGGTGAGGCTTCGAGTTGAGGAAACATTTTCGTCACATGTTTGAGAGTTCGCATTTTGTCATAAATTTACGAAATACAGCTCAAGATTTGCTGTGATCGTCAAAAGCGAGAATTTTATTTCTGAGAGTGAGAAATTTACAGTTACAGATGTTGTAAAGAATAGGCGTTATTTTTGGCGAACTTAATGCAAATGGTTGTTCTGGTTTAGAAAAATAGCTTAACGCAAAATGATTCTTTAAAAAATGAATGACAACAAACTACAAAACGAAAAAAACTCTGTCAGTCCACCGTAAAAAGATGATTAAAAGCAAAATTATAGTGAAAGTCTATTAAATAAAATGAAGATTTCGTAGAAACTAAAACTAAATCAAAATAAAAGAAGCATTGATAGGTATTAGAAAAGTTTCGTGTAAATGATAATTCTGCTAAAAAATAAAATAAATAAATAAATTTTAAAAAAATAAAAAAGGCATTTAAACGTAATAATAATGTAAAAGAATGGTAAGATGTAAATTTTTTGGTTAGTATCTAATTCTAAATGTTTTCCTCTTCTCTAAGGGTATTTTTAACATAGTTAAATAAACTTCAAGTAAGATCACCATAAGTTAATCGTCTTTAATACGGTGAACAGACAATAAAGCTCTTTATTATACTGTGTACTATGTGATCGGTATTAAATACTTTCAATAAACTTTTGAACCATTTCTAATGGAAAGGAATAAATGAGAAGTACGTCTGGCAATAAATTAGTCAAATGTACTGCTTCAGTATTGTAATTAGTTCCTATGCATTTTTTATTTCGTTTTTAGGATATTTTTAACGTTATAAAATAAATTACGTTATTTTTTTTCCCCTTCATTTTTAAGGGATTTTTTTAGCAACGTAAAATAATTTTTATTGTTTTATTTATTTATTTTTATTTGTTTATTTATTCATTTATTGAATTTAGCGACACTGAATAAATTTCAACACTTTTGTTTTTCTAATTTGTTAGACAGTTTAAAATATTTTATGACGTTTTTTAGGGGAGGAGGCGAAATTGTTTAAATTCCATATCTATTACCGAGAATTTCCGAAATTTTTTAAAGATATTTTTTACAACGTATAATTAATAGCATGTTACATATATAATATAGGTATTATATAATATTATCTATAATATAGGTATTAATATAATTAATTATAGGTCTGAACGCTAACGACGTTTGGAAAGAAGGATCCGGTGATGAAAGTGGCTCGACCGTGAATGGTATGATGCATGGAGGGTCCCCTGGGGCTGGAAGGCCCCTTGTGAATGGGACGGCGCCCCAGCACGAAATCTATTCCGTATCCCCAGTGAGCACGGCTTCTTCTTCCTCGTCCCAAAGAAGCTTGCCACCCACCCCAAAGGATGAAAGAGGGTGTTCCAGTCCTCCAAGTCACGCTCTTTATGGTCACGGGGTTTGCAAATGGCCCGGATGTGAAGCTGTTTGTGACGATTATCAGTCTTTCAAGAAGTAAGATTCTATTTATTTTTCTTAATTTTTTTTTAAAAAAATATTCAAATTTTAAAAATTTATGTGTGTTGTAAAAAAACTTTATAAACGAGTCTTAAACCTCTCAAATCTACTTCATCCACCCAATCTCATTTACTTTTTATAACCTTCGTCAATTATTCAAATGATATTAATTCCTTCCTGTTAGCAAGGGTAAAAAATAAAAAATATTTCAAGAAAAAAAATTTAAAAACGCATAAAGTGTATTTATTAAAAATCATTTTTAAAATATAGATTTTACTTTTTTAATTTTTTTTTCTTTTTTTAATATCTAAGTGTTTTGAAAACAAATATTGTTCCCAGCAACAAAATCGCCTCCGTCAACATACTGCCGTACCAAAATGAAAACGTTTTCAACGAGTCAAGTTATCTGAAAATAATCATTAACTTTACTTGATTAAAAACTTCATTCGCTTCAAAAATGTACAAATTGGAGATAACAATCGACATGATTCAAATTTTTTTCTCGATTTCTACTTTCTGATTTTCCCATTTTCTTGACTTACTAGACGTGAACATTCTGTTCTCATTCGCGTCTGGCAAGTTTTGTAAATGGGCACCTGTTTTTCAGTGTTTGAATCATGTTGACTGTTATTTCTAGTTTGCACATTTTTAAGCTGATGAAATTTTTAATCAAGTATTATTTTACCACTTCAGTTTCTTGGGATTCTTTATTTAACCATGCACCTTGTTTTTTCTCGAAAACATAGAACCTTTACCCTAATTCGAATGACTGTATATGTTTTAATTAAACGTGTTAATTATTTTTTTAATTAATTAAAATTATATTAATGCTAGTAACAAGGGCGTTTTATTTATATATTTATATGTTTATTTCATTTTGTATTTAAAACTATATTATTAAGTTAGCAGTAAAAAAAAAGCTTTATTTTATTTAGAACTTAAAATTTTAATGTTTTGTTTTTGTACAGGCATTTAAACTTAGAACATCAACTAGATGATCGGAGTACAGCCCAAGCTCGTGTCCAGATGCAGGTTGTGTCTCAGTTGGAGCTTCAACTGTCGAAAGAAAAAGAAAGGTTACAAGCGATGATGCAGCATCTTCACATGAAACCTTACTCCAGCAGTAGTACCAACGGGAACGGAAACAGCAACAGCAACAATCACCGAAGCTCACCTTCCAAATCAGAAAATGTAAATACCCTCAAATACTTAGCTTAAGATTAAGATTCTAAACAAACCAGTCTGATACCAGAGCTATACTGTGCACTGAGTAAAAAAAAGTATAGTCGATACTACCAGAATATGATAAAACGTACCTTATGATAAAACGTACCGATTCTATGCGAACACCAAAATGGACGGTAATTTTTGCCTAAGTGCTTTGGTAATGATGTTGGAAAAATAAACTAAAAAATATTGTTTTAAAATATGTGGTAAAATTTGATAAATGGAGTAAAATTTGGTAGTTTTATCATACCTTAGAGCAAGGCATCGAAATTAATCGGTTAAATTTACTTTTCAGTTTTGTAAATTTTTACTAAATATGTGTTTATAAGAACTAGGATTTTAAAAAACAAAGTTTCAGGTAAATCGTTACCATATGAAAAGAAAAATTATCAAATTAATAGTTTAAATACCTCATACTTTGGTTTTATTAACCGAAATCAAATTTTTTTTTCCATGAAGTTCGTTACCATACATTGCGATAATTTTGCCAGAATTCTTTTTTCCGTAAACTATAAATCATTCACATCCTCTACACCAGGAAATATATTTGAAATAGTTTATTTAAAATTGTATTCTCTCTCTCTCGAAACTAACTTTAGATTTCTTTATAAATATCTTTAGCCCTGCACTATTGTCACTAATGTAATATAATGTCAACTATAGATATTGGCACTATAAATAAACATTATCTTACGCAAGTACCATACAGAATACCAGCGTCAGAAATTGTAAAAATCTACTTCGACGATTCAAGATAATACCATACCGAATGTAAAAAGGAAAAAATGTTATTACCTTCAAATATATATATAAAGTCATCAAAGTATACTAATGAGGGAGCGTATTTAAGCAAAGAAAAATGAAAATACTATCGGAAGTGAGAAAGGTGGGATGAAAACTATCAAAACCAGTTTGATTGTGCGATAAAAAGTGTAGTTTATAATAATCGTCTTTCAGATCACCTGCTTTTTCCGACAATAAAACTGTTTTTGGAGATTTTAGCTCCTCCTCCACAGTAGGTGTTCGTTAGATTTTAATATCGTTTTTCTTTTTTTATCTTTTGAATATTTATTTACAATCTTCTTGTGTACATCTTTTTTCTTTGACGAGGCTTCTAAAATTTTATAATAAAGTTGGCATTTTCGGAACGCACTATATAATTTAGTAGTAGATAGTACACATCATGATATGACTTATAATACCAAAAGCTGTTCTAACCAAAATGGAAAAAGGCAACAGCAACAATCTCTAAAACTCTCCTTTAAAAATTCTCAAGTGTAATTACCCTTAATTTCAAAACTCTTTTCAACTTTTAATTACATCTTTATGACTCTCTTACTTGTAACTCTTAAGAAGCTGCCGTTAATTCAATTTGATGATGATGGTGATAAGTCCTAGGTGTACAAGCGCCGCTTTGGCCTAACTTTCCAATTTGTTCTTCACTAAGTGTTATTGATGAGTAGAGAATGCTCTCTACCTTTAGAGTTAATGCGATGAGTCTTCAATATTTAATCGTTTTCTGTGGGTATATCTAATTGAATCAAGTATTTTAGCTTAAGGACAGGACATTTTAAAATTACAATATTGTTCGTAATTATCGGTGGAAGTTTAGATTTGAAATTTTAAATTAAGATCGTAATTTTTTAGCCAAGGAAAGATACAGATTTCAAATAATTAAAGTATTTGGTTACGTATAAAGTTTTTTGGTTTAAAAATACACCCAGTTTGTTGGGTTAGTTTATTTACTTTCAACTTCTGCTTTGTATGATTATTTAACGCTGTTTTTCGAGGCTCGGTCGCCAAGGAAATAAAAAAGCCATAGTTAAAGTGCCTCAAACTTGAAACAGTGCGATGATTTGAAAATTTTATATATAATCTGCCCGTGAAAAATTATCTGGGCTTTAGAACATATAAAAAACTTTCAAGTTGTTAAACTTTTTTTAAAGTCGCCAATTTGGAGAATTTTTCTACCTAGATGAAAATTATCAAAATCACTACTTTATTCTCAGGGGATAGAGCGTTCCACTTCCAATGATGTGAATCGGGTTCGAAACCCAGCTATGGCTGGTGGATACGAATTCTGCACCCATCTCGCACCGACCACAGTGTTGACGTTAAATATACACAGTGGTAAACGAATCATAAATTAGAGTCCCATCAGGCTAACCGTGGGAAGTTTTCGCGATTTTCCACTCCATGCAACTCAAATGCGGGTTAGTTCCATCAAAAAAAAACCAGAAGTTCCCTTGTCGTCTGGATTGGGCTCAAAATTACAAGGCTACGGAGTTGAACATCGGTAGCCGTAAACTCAAAATTGGGTTGTCTGTTCAACGACTGTCATAGAATAAAATAAAATTGATTAGTGCAGACGATTTTTTTAAATTGCGATATTAGACACAAAAAATGTTCTTTCTCTGAATAAACATGCTTTGTTTCTAACGATTGTGATTCTTGACTCCCAAAATATGGTTTAGGAAGTAGCCGCAAACAGGAGAATATGGTCCCTATAGTTTAGTCAGGAAAACAGTCGAAAGTTTTAAGTTTACTTAATATTACTTTAATTTTTCGCCGTAACTCAACTATTTTACGTGCAGTATATATTAAACAAACTATCTCGTATATAAGCTCATACAAGACATGTCATTCTTGCATTTTAAAAAATATATTTCGTTTTGTCTTGTGATTTAATTCAGTTCATGAATTTTTCTTTTCTTTGTTTTTTATTTTAGAATGTAATTTCAAATATGAAATCCGGTGCACCTACATCGCCGCAAATGGCCCTTGTCCCAGTTGTGAGTAGCTCTCCGCCCGCCCTGTCCGCCGTCATGACGACAATGTCCAATGCGGGACCCCTCATGGCCACTGTCCCGCAAAGACTGGGGCCTCCTCCTCCTCTTCACCCGCCCAATCCAAATAATATGGGTCATGTGCGGCGAAGACTCAGTGACAAAAGCTGTCCGCCCCTGTCTGGTAAGTGAATTTTATCTTTTAATTGTGAATTTTATCATTTTAATATAAAAATTTAAGATATACATTTTCGAAAATGAAAGAAAAAATTGTTTCGGAAATTTAAATTACAAATACTAAATTCTGTGGCGCTACAGCCCATGGAGGGCCAAGGCCTACTGTGCCCATCTCAGTTTTCTTGACCTTGGGCTCTGGGTGCAAGAGCAGATGTTCCGGTTGGGTGGTCAGCCAAACTCGGAACCCCCTGTGTTTAGTCCCCGAGCATGCTTGGTACTCATTTTATCATTTTAATTGTGAGTTTTATCATTTTAATATAAAAATTTAAAATATACTTAATAAAAGAAAAAAATGTTTCGGAAATTTAATTTAGCAAATACTCGGTATAAAATTTTATAACATTACAGAAAGATATGGTACTTATATACCAATTGTTGCTTACACTGTGTAAAATGTGTAAATGAATTACTTTTATTTCATTTTTGTGTTGCTTATTGCAAAAACAACCTATTGAAGAAAGCAAAAAATAGATAGTTTGAGAAAGATTTTGTGCAAGTTGGTTAATAAAGGTTTTAACTTTAGTAGCTCTAACAACGAAAACCGAATGCAGAAAATTGCATACAACGAACCGTTGTCATTCCATAAACATAGTACTTAATGATATTTCTTCATTAATTTAAATTTTTAATTCCTAATATGTGGTCAATGTTTATTTTTATTGTGTAAATGAATTACTTTCTGTGCTTACACTGTGTAAAATATGTAAATGAATTACTTTAATGCATTTTTGTGTTGCTTTTTGCAAAAACAACCCATTGAAGGTAGTGAAAAATAGATAGTTTAAGAGAAATAGTGCAGTTGGTTAATAAAGTTTTTAACTTTAATAGCTCTAACAACCAAAACCGAATGCAGAAAATTGTATGCAACGTACAATTGTCATGCCATAAACATAGTAGTACTTAATGATATTTTTTCATTAATTAAAATTTTTAATTCCCAATATTTGAACAATGGTTATTTTTATAACTAATAAGCCGCGGATGCTTTTAAAAGGTATATAAAAATATAGGTAAATAAATGTAAAAATAAACTATGCTGGGATGATTTTTTTTACTGCTCAGATGATCACTTTACAATTGACAGGCTTGAGGTAATATATTTATGAGCCACATTTTAATAATACCTAAATTTGAAAAAAAAAAGAAAAAAAAGCGTATATAAAACTATCACATAGTATCGTTTCCTATTTGGTACTTTTCAAGTTTTGGGAATTGCCTTTAACTAACAGTGCATAAAAATGTGTTTTCTTTTTCATCAAAAATGTTTGAAAAAGCCTTCTCATAATCTGTTTTAAAACGTGGCTTACTTAGTATTTTATTGCTCCAAGCTTTTTATTAAATTTATTTCCGCTGTTATTTTCAATCAATATTAAAAGAATTAAATAATTTATTTAAAGCATTCTCTACGAAATATTGTTTGGGAAAATTGTAGTCTGAATAAAACTCACTCGATGTTATTTCATATATTTAATAATGAAATAGAAATAACTGATATTCTAATGAAAAAAAAACCGTTTGTATCAGTTAAAAAGAATGAAAATTCTCATGGGGGTTGCAAAATCATACAAACGCGGCTGTTTGGAATAAGAACAAATTATAAAGAGTGGTTTTGACTCCTTTTTTTTTCATATAGTGAGTTAGGGTTTCGTTAAAAAATAAATAAAGAAAAAATTTTAAATAAACGACATGCCCATTACCTGTTTGATCAATCACATGGAACCCTCCCCTATCTCTCCACCCCTCTCAGCCTCGCTGAGGCCCACCCACCAAAATGGGATGAAAAAGGTAGAAAATATAAAATAAAGAAGAAAAAAAATTTTTTTTCTCTTTTTTATTTTACCCCCTTCGAACATTTAATAAGCCATCAATGCCAATACTGGAGACGTTATAAAAACGGTAATGACTTATTATTTACTCAATATTTCATCCTTCAAATTAATCAGAAAAAGAACCGAAAAAACCAAAAAGAAATAAACAATTTTACGAAAAGAACCAAGCCCTATTTAAACCAGGACTTTTTGAATAATAATAATAATCTTTTTGAAAAAAAAAATTTTTTTTTAGTGAAAAAAGTTTAATCGATAACGTTGAAGCGAAGTGAAGTAACAGAAGTAATGAGGTTTCCTTAGCCCGTTCCCTAGTCATAAAAACACTAAATAATTTATTGGGCAGATCGGCGTATTAGTCGAACCCCACCCAAACGGCAAAAATGAAAAGTTGCATGTGTGCAGGCCTGCTTTTCTGCATACATCCCATTAAATCATTTAATAGAAAGAATGATGCTGGTGATTTATAAGTCATCAATCAGTAAGATTTTGTGAAATTTATAATAATAATGCATTGTTTGTGCCAAAACCAGATGATAAACTGAGATTTGGCGATATTTTTTTTTCCGTGATTATCCTTCATCCGCCAAAACTCATTTACTTCCCTCTTCGGAGGAAAAAAAAAGGAAGGGGGAAAAAAAGCGGAATAGATTAATTTTAAAAACTTTAAATCTGTAACTTTCTTAATAAATAAAATATATACGGTAGCCCACAGTCTGCCTTTTCCGAAGAAAACGTAACGAATTTAATGAGCTTAATAAATTGATTAAAGATTTCCTTATTATTTTTCATAGGGCCTCCCCCTCCATTCTTTACGGTTAACAGTTACGAAAAAAAATTTGGAAATTATTAAGAGAACGAAAAGGCGGTATAAAAAAAAAAGAGAATTGAAGAAAATTATTGGCGTTTACTTTTTTAGCGTTGAACAAACTGTGCAGAATGTGACGAAAAAAAAATTTCTTTTGTATTAATTGAAATCGCAAAAACAGTTTTAATGTATTTTTTTATTCGCTTCATTTTTGAAGGTTTAAGAAAATGAATGTAACTGGAAGGAAAAAAAAAAACATAGTCGCAAGAAAATAATTTATTTTATTTCGGAACAAAACTCCTCCTAATGAAGAAATATGGCGCTTTTTTTTCCACTTCCGACTTTTCTCATTCATTAGGAAAAAGTTTAAAAATAAACGATATTTTTAATAAATTAATTGAAGACTTGTCTAGAAAGTCAGAGTTGAGATTCTCAATCGGTTTCATTTTTCTTTTATATTTTTAGCTTATTTAATATTAATTTTGATTTTAATTAATACCTATTTTGTTAATGTTAGAAGAGAAATGTGATAAGATAAAACGGTTTGTAGAAAATTTGCATCAAAATATTTCATCTATTTTATATCATATTCTTATATATCCGTATCTTCGTAAAGAAGTTTTTTCCAGATTGATTTATCGTTAAGATATTTCTAAAAAATGAGCTTATTATTAAGAAAAATAATAATAATAGCTTTTTCGCCTAACTTACCATAAAGAAAAATCTTCCCTAAGCTTATCGTAAAAAATGCCCTAATTTTAGGTTAAAATAAAGAAATATTTCTATATTAAGCTTTTCTTAAAGAAATTGCTTCCATTTAGGGCATTGTAAAGAAAATGTTTTTGCACTAAGTTTGTCGTAAGGAAAATTCTTCAGTTTAGTCTATAAATTCATAAAATAAAATGATATTAGTCTATATATATAGTAAAAAAATTAAAATTTCCTCAAATTTAACTTTTCTTAGAGAAATTGCTTCAATTTAGCTCAATGTAAAGAAAATGTTTCAGGACTGAATTTGTCTAAAGGAAATTCCTTCGATTTAGTCCATAGTTTAGAAATTTTTTTAATATTTAAGCTATAATAAGGAAATTTCTTCAAGTTAATACTTTTATGCAAAAGATTCCTCAAGCAAGTTTTAACTTACACAAATTTCGTCAACCTAACTTATCCTAAAGATATTTGTTCGAGCCAGATTTATTATAAAGAAATTTTTCCAGTTAGATTGGGCAAAAAAAAAATTATTAAGTTTTTAACAATTTCTTGAAAAAAATTCTTCAACTTTCAAGTTTGACTACACTTTAAAACTTAAGTACCAGACCGTGCGATATAATCCGTGAAACTACCAAATTTCTTTATAGTAAGCAAATTACAAGATATTTGCCTTTCTTTTAAATATTCATTTTTGTTTTATATCGGTATTATTAGCAAACATTAAAATAATATCTATAGAACTTTTGATTATAAATTTTTACTCTTTATCTTTTGATGAAATCATTGGATTTTTCACACAATTATTGACAATTTTTATGTTTAAAAATAGCAATTAATAACTCCTAGATTAGTATTTAGTGAATCGCACTTATGGTAAATTATAACTATATTACATAAGCATCAAAATAACGTATCATCGATATTATCTTAATTAGAAGATTGAAATACATGGTGACAATAGAAAACTTGGACATATGATTTAGTTGAAAACTTTAGCAATAAAAATTTGTCAGCAGCCTTTGAACGAAGTACTAAACTATACCTGCAAACTATCAATATATGAATTGATTAGAAAAGCATGTCATGTGATCGATTTTATTATACTGACATCAACCCAATGGGAAAATGGAGATTTCTGGTTTGAAGATTGAAATGGCAACTAAATTCCCACCTTTTTTTTATGTTTAATTTCTTGAGTTTTAAGCTTTAAATAATGGCAAAAAATGCGAGGTTTACATAGAAATATGAAGCTTAAGAAAAAGTAAACTCATAAACTTGATAAAATATTTTACTTAAAAAAATTAATTAACTCGAACTTATAGAATGTCAGTTATATTTAATTATTACAGATAAAAATAATTAATTTTTATCATTTTTGGTATAATGTAGAATATTTTTTTTAGCATATTTCTTTACAATTTTGTGATAAAGCACATTCCAAAAGTATCCGATAAGATATTTTTAAGTCTTTAAACTTTCCAAAAGGTTATTTAAATCAAATTTATTACCTTTCTTACATGTGATTAAAAACAACGATCATCGAGAGTAAAAACTGTATAGTGCAAACCAAAAAAAATTTTAAATGATTATATTTTTAAGTAATAAAAATGTAACAAATGTTGTCTAATATTTGGAGATGCATTACACCAAAAGTTGGTTTAATCTCTCGAAATAGATCTCAACTGGTAGATCTCAAATTTCATTCAAATTTATAGATCTCAAATCTTCAATTTTAAAATTGGCATACCAATCACGAGTGTTTTATCAGTTACAGCGCCCTCTCCATACACAGCATAAATGTCACGAGCAGCTTCTGCAGTCGTAGTATTTTGATCAAAATCAAAATGACGAAAGTGTCGAAAATGCTCATTTTTCGCAACTTGACATTCCATTTTAATAATTTAAAAACTAACATAAATCAACTCGAAAAAAAAACAAAAGAAAAAACTATTATCCGGTGAATAAAACATATTTTTTCCGAATGATCTAAAACATCATGCTAATAGCATTTAATGACATGCCTTGTCATTAAATGTTAAAATTTAGAATGTTAAATTTTTTTAAAAAATGGTGGTTACTTAGTTGCCAACCCTTTATATCAAAAAGCTCCAAATTGTTTTGGTGTAGTTTCCTTAATTCAATGTACAAAATGTTCTATAATCACTGCCTTTTATACATCTTTTATCCTTATTAAAAGTGAAATGCAAGTGAAATCCGAATTTGTATATAGTAAAAAATCGCAAATTGTTTGATTGCCAAAGGAAACAGAAAGAAATTTAAAGATGATTATTAAAATACCCTAGTGTCATCAAACAATCAAACTGATTTTAATGTTTTTCATCCCACCTCCTTTAGTAGCGTTTTTGTTCCTTCGTTACTTACGTATTAATTTTCATCACAGACCTAATTCTTAACAGGGATAGTAAATATATATCAAAGGCTGTGGTTACGGAGCACCGTATCAGTGATTAAAATCTAATAATGTATAGTTAAAATAATTTTTTGAATATATATTAACTGTTTTTTTTTTATCGACTTAAAAGTTTCAATTAGTGATTTCAGACTTAAGGTATTACAAATTTCTAAAAGCATTAACAGCAACTGTATTACACAACAGATATCATAGTTAGGTGATTATATATATAATACAGCTTCAAAATTTTGCATACATGCAAAAAAGAGTACGCTGCATAAATTTACCAAAATAATAATAATAATAATAATCTTTCTTAAAACTTATATTTGATTTTCCAAAAATCAGAATGTTTCTCTGAAAAATCATTCTGGCATAAAACTAAGCTATATATAACAATATATTTTGATCAGTCATAACTAACGAAATAAATGCATAGAAATCGGTATTTACTTTGTGAAGTGATTTTGCTAGATTTGAAACATTTATGAAATTTCAACAAAAATTTACCACAGTAATTAAATTTCAATCGAGATTTGGAAACGAAATAAATTATAAAATCACTTTCGCAATAATCTGAATTCGAGTTTAAATCAGGAGAAATAGGCGAGTAAAAATTTTTGTTGATGCATATTAACCTGAGCAAATTAAATGGATAAAGATTTAGATGAAAAAAATATGGTGGTAGTAAAAAAAATTATCTTTTGTTTAAAATTATGTCCAAGTTATTTATTGTCAACCCTGTACTTCTAGCTCTTGGAGAAGCCGATCACAACTGGTCATCTAAAAGTGTATACGATCCAACCCCCAGCAATCCAAGGCAGTCTTTGTGTAAATATAACGGTATTTATTCTCAAACTTTTTTTTCCAAATTTTTTAAAATTAAGCATCATGTCCTTGCAATATTAAGAAATCAAGGCAAAATACAATGCAATAATAAGCATTCAAGGCAAAATGCAATCGTAATAATAAGCATTCAAGGCAGAATGCAATGCAATAATAAGCATTCAAGGCAGAATACAATGCAATAATAAGCAATCAAGGCAGAATGCAATGCAATAATGACCATTCAAGGCAGAGATCACTAAAGACGCGAGTAACAAACTAATGAAATTAAAATTGCAACTTGAAATACAATATTTTTTTTCACTAATTATCAAAACTTTTTACAACTCTTAATAGTTGAGAAATANGATCCAACCCCCAGCAATCCAAGGCAGTCTTTGTGTAAATATAACGGTATTTATTCTCAAACTTTTTTTTCCAAATTTTTTAAAATTAAGCATCATGACCTTGCAATATTAAGAAATCAAGGCAAAATACAATGCAATAATAAGCATTCAAGGCAGAATACAGTGCAATAAAAACAATCACGGCAAAATACAATGCAATAATAAGCAATCAAGGCAGAATGCAATGCAATAATGAGCATTCAAGGCAGAGATCACTAAAGACGCGAGTAACAAACTAATGAAATTAAAATTTCAACTTTAAATACAATATTTTTTTTCACTAATTATCAAAACTTTTTACAACTCTTAATAATTGAGAAATAAATTTATTACAATTACATGATGAGAAGACAAAGGATTTCAATATTGTTTCAATAGAATTTTTTTTTTTTTTTTTTTCAGATTATCATTTAGATATTATCTGAAAATAATCAAAAGAACATAAAATATTTCTCAAATAGTTTTTTCTCTCCATATCATAATTTTAATCACTCGATTTTTCAATTTGTTTTATAAATTAAAAGAATACAGATTAGAATAAAAATAAAATAATGCATTTTTGAAGCAATTTAATGTGTTATTATCATTCTATTTATTCATAGAATAATGTCGATCGAATAAAAATGTCTTTCATTAGTCTTTCTGTCTTTTTATTTATTTTTGAGGACAAAAATTTAAATTCCCTGAGACGCAAGCATTACAAATAAACAAATCTACTGTGGGACTCCTTATTAAATAAAATTAATATGAAGTTAGTTAATTCGTAATTTTATTTCTTTTCTTTGTGTTACCTGATGGAAATTTTATCTTTTTAGACTTAAGCAAACAAAGAAAAAATTGAAAAACGTTATTCCCTGAAAAAAAAATTTCGGAACTATCAAATTTTCAAAATGCGAATAATGCAGCTTAATTTTTAGCACAGACCGTGATATTTTAAAATATAAAAACATACTTAAAAATGTACTTCCCTTAAATTCTTAATAAACATATTTTTATTCTTTTTTAAAGAATTAAACCGTTAACCTTCGAAATATTGTGAAAATTTTTAAGGGAATACGGAAATATCGAGGGATATATAGTTTTTAAAACAATTAGTTTTAAGTAACAAAATCCAATCTTTGAACTGGATTAATCTAATAGTTCCTAAAAAAAATTACAAATAAAACTTATTAATTTTTTGATTCTGTAAACCTTACAATTGTGACATGGCTGCTTGGAGTTTTATACGTTATAAATAGTTTGAATTCGCTATCATTCAAATTATGGCGAAAATTCCATCACTTTTAAGAACAAATTGAACTCAGAAGTTGGAATGAAATAATTTTGACTTTTTTAATTCCTACAACATCAGCTATTGTGAATAAAATGTAGTAGTACTTCTAAGTTTAAAGAGATGGCAGCACTATATATTCAAAGAATTTCGTTTTCAGTTTTGTGATCAACTATTGGTGATATTTGTTTACAAAGAACTCACGAAGTTAATGAAATTATAAATTATTTTTCTATAGTTAAAAAAATTATATCATGTGACATATTTTATCAACTAATTCACATTGTGGTTCAATTCTTCGTGTTGTTTAATACAAGGACCAAAAAACTTCAATATTAAAGTTGGAAAAGTATTTAAAAGTTTTTGTGAGTTACATCATTTGCTTCTTAAGTTTTTGGGCAAAAGTAGTTAAAATGGCTCAAGCAAGGTGACTTTTAAATTGTATCTTGTTGATAAACAATCGTATTTAAAATACTTATTTTTTTATTTTTTCAACTGAATGACACACAGAGATTTTATTTTCAATATTTATCTGTTGCGATATTAAGACACATAATGTTATAAGTTACATGATAAAACTAAATTTCGTTTTTCTCGAAAGCCGACGATGTTTACTTAATTTCTTTTCCGAATCCCTATAAATTTCCCCTTATGGGACTCTTTAGTTGAAATGTCCATATCTATGAGGGTATAGCCATTAGACTTTCCAACAAATAAACACTGTGCCTATATTTTTTTCTAACAATTCATGATCAAATCCTTTTTCTTTATTAATCTATTATTTCATTTATACAGAAAAAGGAGGTTTTTGATTCTATATTTTTATTTTGCTGAAAGTTAAATTTATAAATCATGATCATTTTTAAATATAAAAGTTAAATGTATAACTCATGTCATTCTCAGGTTCCTACTTTTTACGCAACAATATTTATTTCAGTGTTGTAAAGGAAAATTATTATTCTATATGTAGGTAGTATATTTTATCGTTTAATTAACTTTTAATTAAATTTCAGTTTTAGATGTTCCATCTTTGCCTGATTCTCCAATTCGAAGGAGAGTAGTTGAAAGAGCTAATCTAGATATTACAGAAGGTAATATACATTTTATTTCTCTTTTTTTCTTTAATTTTGAGATATTTTTAACTTTCGTTTTTTTATTCAGTGAAAAGATTATTGAATCTAAATTTGAATTTTCAAAATGACATAAATATTGAAAGAGCTAATCTAGATATTACTGAAAGTAATATGCATTTTATTTCTAATTTTTTCTTTAGCTTTAAAATATTCTTAATTTAAGTTTTTTTTTTTATTCAATCTCATAATTTTCATTTAATTGTTGTTTTTGTTTTTTCTTTTAATTTAATAAAAAGATTATTGAATCTAAATTTGAATTGTTAAAATGTCATAAATATTGAAGGAGAGAAGTTGAAACAGCTAATCTAGATATTAGAGAAAGTAATATGCAATTTATTTCTCATTTTTTCTTTTTTTAAAAAAAATATTATTAACCAAGTTTGTTATTTAATCAAATAATTTTCATTTAATTGCATTTTTCAAACATATTAAAATAAATAAAAAGATTTTTGAATCTAAATTATTTGAATTTTCAAAATGATGTTATCTTTCTGAATCTTATAACATTACCTTTCTGACATTATCTTATTGAAGGTCTTTTAGCTATATCAAGTTTTTTAAGCCTTTTTCACCCTAAATTTTTTTTTAAATATAATTATTAATAAGTCTGAAGGCAATGTTTGATTTCTAGATTTTGTTGCAGCTGTTGTAAATATATCAAAAGGTGAAGCATGTTAAATGCCTGGGTCTTCCAAAATCCAGTTGTATATAGTGCATGCGTATAATCTAAATGCATTTTTTTATGCCATACTTATATTTGTATTATTTTAATTTGTATCACATTTAATATTTTGTTATTAAACTTAATTTTAGAAATTCAAAGGAATAGAGAATTTTACAGAAATGCTGATGTCCGACCACCATTTACGTATGCATCATTAATAAGACAAGTAAGATACTGCTTTTATTCATTTTTGTCTGCAAACTAACTTCCATTCAAATATTAAACATACCGTTGATAAAAAAATATGCTCAGAAAATAGTCTATGATGCTCCTAATTTGATTGTACTTTTTTTTAAAAAAATTTAAATTTTGCATTTTTCTAATTATTTCTATTTTTTTAATCATTAAACAAATAAATGTTTATTTCAGGGCAAAAAGAATACACATTTCTATTTTCTTAACTATCATTATTGTTATTTTAATTGTATGCTTTTTCACTTCTTAATAAATTATTAGATTAAAAAAATTTCCTCATTTAAGCAAATATTGATTTTAATACATTAACATAGTAAGTTTTTTTTTTAACATAATAAGTTTTTGGACCACTTAATGAATACCAAAGTGGACCACTAAATTTTCAGTGTGTTTGGTGCTATTAGTAATTTTATTATTGTTTAACATTCTGATTTTTCATCACTTTAGGCCATAATTGAAGCACCAGAAAAGCAGCTTACTCTTAATGAAATTTATAATTGGTTTCAAAACACCTTCTGTTACTTCAGACGGAATGCAGCTACATGGAAGGTACGAACAATTTTTATATTTCATTATTTAAATTCATAGCTGTCTTCTAACATTGTGTACATTGCTCTGATTAGTATCATACTATACTTTTGGATTTTACTTTTGTTTATACTTTTTGATTTTACAAATAACTTACTTATAATTCCATTTCGAATTTAATGTTTTTTTATATCATAATCACTTATGTTATAAAAACTGTTCATCAGAAAGAGATTAAAAGTGATTGATAAAATGTAAAAATTTCTTGCATTAAAAAAATTCTTAATATTGTAACCTATTATATATCATAATATCTTATAAAATATGAAACATTTACATTGAAAAATTTTATTCCATAAAAATATATATATATTTTTTAATCTTGCTATTTATTGCAAAGCAGATTTAAATCATCTTAGAGAATCTGCTAGATTTACGTTGTTACAGGCTTTCGATGAAGCCCTTGTTGTCATAATATGCTTCTTTACAATGGGATAACGTAATTTTATGTAATCCTTTTGTAAAGAAACATCATTGTTTTCTATTAATGTTTATATCATTGCTAAAGAATTTATGAAAAAGTTATTGAGGTAAAAATACTATATGTTCATATGACATATCTATTTTTTTCTGTATTACATTTAAATTCATTACTACATGTAAATTCAACACTCATTTATTTTAAAATCAAATGTTTCTTTGTAGTTATTTATTTACACTTTAGCTTTTAACATTGGTTTTCTTAATTAATACAAATTACAATATGTAGTTTTGTTTTGTTTTTTAGTGTGAGTATTGAGATTTTTTAGTTTAATTAAAAAAATGGGATTGCCATGTTAGATTTTCAATAGTTTCTTCTGCATGTTTATTACATTGAGTGGGTTACTTTCTGAACAAAAGAAAACAAAAGCTTTTCTTCTCTGTCTTTTTTTGTACTTGATGCAGGCCATGTTACTAGTTTGCTGCATAAAGTAATTGTTCTTTTCAGGGCAAATTCCGGAACTCTTCCTTCAAGGTACTTTGCCTGTGATTCTTTATTATACCTTGCTGTTTGTTAGTCAAACTGTCTTCATAATTACAAAATTATACTTTTTAATCTTTTTCAAAAATATTGTGGTTTTATTAAATATTTTAGACTAGAAAATTAATAGACCTAAATTATTTTAAAAGCTTTCTTGTTCATTTATATAAATCAGTTTTATAAAAAACTTCTTTTTTTTTTATTTTCTTCATGTCTTATAACAATTTATTTCATATATTTTATCTACTACTTAGAATTATAGGCCAATTTTAATAATTTTACTTAAAATACTGTAAAAAAATTAAACCAAAAAAGCATTTAAATTCAATATAATCTTATCGACTGAGAAAATTTTACAAATTTAATAAAATATATCGCTTAAAAGAGTTCTTCTAGTCAATTAATTAGGTATAAACTTGCAAATTATATAAAATTGGCAAAAAATTGTCTTTGTAGTTATTGTGCCAAACATTCAGCCTGGATTTCTAGTAAACTCTTTAAAACTTTTTCTCTTATATTTTATGAGTCAGATTTTATTTTCACTAAATTTTTTACTAATTTTAAAAAAATTTTAAAACATTATTTATAATTTATCTTATCATACACTCTTTTTTTTGGAAGGGTATAATTTGAATTTAAAAAAAATTTACGATAAGTTTTTTATAGTAATCATTACATGCATGTACGTACCTACATACATATATATATATATAATCAAAGAGATCTTATTATTAAATTTTCGTGCATTCATAAACATTTCTGAAGAAATACATGCTTATAAGTTACTAACATGGTTTATATTTATTTTTTTTTATTTATTAATTTTATTTATTTTGTTTCTTTCTTTATTTTTTTCCTTCCTTTTATTTATATCTGCTTTATAAAGAACTTTTAAATCTTAAAATATATATGAAGAGAAATATTTGCCTTCATATTGACATTCAAAAAGTCACTATACAATGTTTTCCTTTTGTTATTATTTCTGAGTTACTTTTACCAAACCCAATAAACAACAAATTTTCGTATGAAAGCTTTTAAAATATTTGTTTTATTTAAAAATCATTTCAAAATTTACAAACTCTTCTGCTTCTCCTTTTTCAAAATTATTTCTTCTCAGTCTTTATTTACCTCTTTGGCAAGTGACACACTCAATGATAAAACTGCAGATGTTAATGGAACTACTTTAAAAAAAAAAATTTAAAAAGTAAATTGATAAATGTAGTTATGGACACAGTGACAACTTTTGTTTGATGCTATTCTTACACAAGATAATCTCTATGTAAGTATCGAATTCATGAATGCTGTCGTTTTGTGACCTAGAACCTAGTTGCCCTACTAAATGTTTACCTAATTGTTTTATTTGTATATTTATAGTATAGATAGTATTTGTGTTTCGATTTTATTTTTAGCTGCTTTGAAACAATATTTCTCTATTTTATGCACTTTAAAGTACAAGGAAAGTTTTTTATTACAGTATTACAGACGTGACTGATCTTTTTGGAAAAATGTCACTATCTGAACTGAGAAAAATTGTGTTTGCCACTTTTATTTTTTTTCTGCTAAAAACCATATAAAAAAAGTTTTATTTACAGGCTAATTATGGAATTTTTATGCATATAGCTTTTTTTTCTTCACCTAAGCACTGAGTAATGGAAATTAAAATAAAATATATACGAAATAAAACATATATTTATACATAAATCTATACATTATAACTATATATACTATAGAGCACCAATTATCTGGACCAAAGTAGATCTAGATAACAAAAAATCCAGATAATTTGATTTCTTTAACAAATGACTATGAGAATGTCTTTAAGTAACTTAATTTCACAATTTTTCCAAGCTTAGGATTGACACTTGTAGTAATGACTATTAAAGCATATTACAAATTGCATATTTAAAAAAGATTTTTTTTTAATATTATTAGAAAGCTGTTTCCTTATGAGAAATTACTTATCTCCCACATTGAAGATTTCTTTACCCCTTTCAGATATTCTACGATTGTTTTATTTATTTTGAAGAAGAAGAAGAAAGTGAAAAAAATACATTGTTTTTGATCAATCTACGTAATTGAACAATTTGGTAAATCAGAGTTCGGATAATCGGCGCTTGACTGTCTATATATCAATCGTGCAAAGTTAATTATATTAGGATTAGTGTTAGGAGATGATAGAAAAATTAGGTGTTGATGCATGTCAGTTAATTCCGATTTTGTTATGCTCATAATAAAAACTTAACTTAAGGATTTGGATCATCTTTTTACCACTTACATGCTGTTTTACCACATTCTTGTGCTGGTGTATACAATGCTTTTGTATTCAGCATCATACGAATAGGGTTTTTGTCAAGTTAGATGAAGTTTCTTGTTACGATATTATTATTTCAATTTTTGCACTGCAACAGCTGTGATAAGTAATGAATACAAAACAAATAATGACTTTTGAATAATGTCATTTGTTGCAAGCACCATTTTGCTCGTGAAGTATGCAGTAAAGAGCTTATTGACATGAAAAATTTGCATACATAAATAATAGTTATGTTCATAAGATTTTGTATTTGTGTATAGCTTGCGTTCTATGACGAATTGTTTCTATTCTTGATTGACTGATAGATTGATTTAGGAAATTATTTTTACTGAAAATCAAAAATATATTGTTTCAAAGCAGAAGTACAACAAATAGACATTTTATCTTCTTATTTATACATGCTTTAACTGTTTGAACTCTGTTTAAAAAGTCTTATTAGTTAGTTAGAGTTTAAAATTTTTCAAATTCATATGCATGCGTCATGCTAGAAAAAGTTATAGTTTACTTAATATCTAAAGACAGAGGAACCCTGCTCATTCAAACTATGAGACAATTGTCTACTTAAATACTAGTTACAAATTTACCAATCCTAAACTCCCATGTAAATAGAGCGAAAAATGATTTCAGACAATAAAATATATTTCAAATTATAATCACATAGCTTAAACTGCGATCATTAATCGATTTTCCAATATTTTTATATCCCTTTTCTTTGAGATTTTAAAGCGGGAGATTTTTATATCGGTACCTATGCCAAGTTTTTGCCTCTTCAGGGCAGTGGTCTAGGAGAAACTAAACAAAACTTCCTAGAAGATAACCAACTTGAACAGTGTGGTTGTCAATATGGCTTTAGCAGTTGTAGTTTGCATAAACGGGTACCGATTCAGAAATATTTCCTTTTGAAGTGAAAAGTTGTGTAGTTTTCTATTTATGAATATCACAATGCTTATTTACCTGATTTTCTGAATAGAAATTTAGACATTAATGTAACAATGGATTAATGCTTTTATTTTAGCTTCTGTCACAAATCTTACTCATGTGACACAAAAGATAATAAATAATGGAGGTTTGTTTAGCATTGTGAATCTCACATTTGAATTGGTCTTTTTCTGTTCTGCATCATAATAAAAATTAATGTGATCAGTATGAGCTATCGGAGTTATGAAATAAGCAGGGTTCTGCTGCATGTTCTTTTATTTTATTGTAATTTCTAATTAAATAAACTAAATAAGTAAGTTATAAATTTTCATCTTACACCTTAAAAGAAAATTTGAACATAAAAAGGAAAAACTTGTTAAACAAGGAAGGATTTTCATCAAAGACGATGACTTGACCACATATTGGCTTATTAATTTAATAACTGTGACATTGAAACAGTACTCTTAATTATTTAGAATGCAGTTCGTCACAACCTAAGTCTTCACAAATGTTTTATGCGGGTTGAAAATGTTAAAGGAGCCGTTTGGACCGTGGACGAACTAGAGTTCTACAAACGTCGTCCTCAGCGGCTTCAAGAACGAATGTCCGGGTAGGTTTTTGATGTTGTACATATATCTACAAACACTGTACTCATTCAAGTTTTTTTTCTTTTTCCTTCTCCTCTCTCTCCTCACCTTACTTCCTCTTCCTTATCTATATAATAAAATCCCTATAAATCATGGTGATGCCATGTAATTTTGTAACATATTTACTGCCATTCCCTCACCTTGCTTTTTATTTTTATCTAAAATTATCTTTTTGGGCATTTTATGTATATGCATCACCTGTATATATGCTTCTGTTATTGTTTGTGCTGGAATGTTTGTTAATAAATGCTTTTATTTGCTCTGTTCTAATGTTCTGCCTATTTTGCACTTTGTTTGATTCTTTGTGCCATGACCTGTGTTTACCTTTGCCCTTGCCCTTTTTCTTCGCTGGTCGTTGTCCTTACCTCCGTTTCCATGCCCTCTCCCACCCTCCTTCTCTGCACAGAATGCAATACGCACCAATCTGTCTCTTCATAAATGCTTTGTTCGCTATGAGGATGACTTTGGGTCGTGGTGGCGAGTGGATGACCAGGAGTTCGTGAGAAGGCGCCACCTGAGCCGCGGGCGACCCCGAAAATACCCTGACTCTGACATCCCCTCCTCACAGTAAGCCTGCTGTTTGTTTTTTTATTACTTTCCTACTTATTTTCTTTTTGATATCAGTCTTCTTTGCTAACTTTGCCCTCCAGTTGCATGTTGCGCTTGCATGTTGCTTTCCACGATGCTCTACTGATTTCGAGCTCTGATTTCCCTTCAGTATATGCCTCACCATTTGTTTTCATGAAGTAAATTTATTAATTTTTAATTGTCTTTTTCAGGGGTTTATTTCATTTGGGTGTGTTATAATTAATATTCCGTGACACTTAATTAAAAAATTATATTGTTTTTTTGGCACTTCAAGATAAGAGTTTGGTTTCAAAACCAACTTAAATCCATTGTTATAAGTTTTATATATAAGAAAAAGAATCTCTCTTCAGTATAGTAAAAAATATTAACTGCCATAGCATTTCATTTTGGTCAAACGTTTTTCTTTAAGTAAAACTTTAAATTGTTTTAAAATAGTTTTGATATCCCAAACTGTTATCTTCTCTAAAAAAAAAATTTTTTTAATGCTCTAGATTGCTTTAATTTTGGCCAACAATTAAGCAATTGTAGATATTACAGCAATAAATAGTTTATATTATGGCAAACATATTTTTTAATTATAATTTGTAATTGTTCTAAAATAGTTTTGATTTCACAAACTGTTATCTTTTATATAAATTTTTTAAAAAGAATGTTCTAGATTACTTTAATTTTTATGCAAATATCAGGGGTTTTAATATCACAAAAAAAGAAGAAAAAAAGCTCAACTTAAAGGTTTGAATATTCATATAACACATCCAAATGAAATAAATGTTATTTACTTTTGTATTAATAACATGAAGATGGAAAAATGTGCTGCAATAGATATAATAATCTAGTTAAGCAGTAACACCTGAATGAAAAATAAACTTAGTATTCCTTACGTAGTCTGAAAAGCTATAATATTATTTGAAGGAATGATGGACTTGTAAAATTATTTTTTTTGCTGTTTGAAAAATACTGTAAGCCTACAACAATTAGTAGTAATTTTTTTAGAACTGACAGTTAGTGTAGTCATAGTTAATAGATGCTATAGTAATCATTAAAAATTAGCTTTTTGTAGTAAACACTGATATAGCTGCATTTGTAGTAGTTAGTGGCCCTCTTATAATGACACTAGTAGTCTCTAATAAGTTTTATAAATTGCCATTTAATGAAAGATAACATATTTTGTGTCTTATGTTTTATTGTTTATACATGGACTTTTTTTTTTTTACTTTCTTAGCCAGAAAAGAAATCATTTTTCTTTTTTCACAATTTGGTTGTTTTATTTTGGGTCTCATAATTTATTCTAATTTGCGAAATATAAATAAGAAAATAATATTTAAATAACAAATTTAAATATTTAGAAAAAAATATTTAAATTTCTATTTTTTAAATTACTTTAAATTTTAAATGGAACAAAATTGTTTAATTCATAAATCATCATGAAATTTGATCTTAATCATATGCTCTTTCATGATAAGTGATTATATTTCATTGTAAAAGTGCTATTCTCTAATAAGTTTAAATAAAGATCGCATATTTTTTGTATTATATTTTATTGTTCATACATGGACTTTTTTTTAACTTTCTTAACCTGATAAAAAAAAATCACTGGTTTCTTTTTCTTTTTTTTAAATTTGATTGTTTTAGTTTGATTCATTGCTTATTCCAACTTTTAAAATATAAATTATAAACAAAGATTATTTAAATGAAAATTAAAATTTTAATTAATTTATAAATTAGCATAAAATCAGATCTTTACCGTGTGCTCTTACATGATAGGTGATTATAATTTATTGTAAAAGAGCTACGCATTGAAAATTGGAGAGTTTTATAAGTACATCATATGATCATTTTTGAGCCAAGCTCTAATGATTATAAAATTGTTTTTTATTTTAAGAATTGAAAATATATCCATAAAGAATCTTCATTAAGAGTTTTATTTTTGGCATAAAAAGTGATGACAGTGAAGTCAAATTTTTGTTTTAGGAACCAAATTAAAGTTATTAATAGCTAATGTTAACAGTTGTTTAAAGTACTATTAAAAACCAATTTTGTTGACAAAAATACATTGCTCATTTGATCTTCACTGCTATTTTTATGAATATTAAAATTTCTTTTTTTAAGAAATATGTAAAATAAATTAATTGTTTCAAAATTGTTATTATTTTTTACTTTTGTCATTAAATAGTAGGATATTTATTCCAATTTTTGAGACATATAAATAAGATAAGTAAAATCAATTTCAAAATTAATAAGAAGTTGATTTTTTATACTGATCCCTAATTGGTACAACATTTGTTTTAAACATTGAGAAATATCTGAAATTGCAAAATTCTTTAAAATCTATTTAGATTGTTAGGCTTCTGATCCTTTTTGCTCTATATGTCAAGGCCCATTTGTAATGGATGGCCACCATGTTCTCCTTTGGCGTGCCCTCCATGGAGCAACTATCGCTGACCGATACTGGGAAGCAAGGTGTCAAATGAGGAAATGACTGTTTTTAATTTTTATATCCTTGTTCTCTTGAGTTGTGTTATTTTTATCGTGTGTCGATTCCCACTGCCATTAGAAATAATAAAATAATTTAGATTGTTAAAAAAAACTTGAATTTCTTTTAACTCAGCACTAGTGAATAAAAAATTTATTTTAAATGAAGAGAAATATCTGAAATAAGTATATGGTGTTCTATAGTTTAAATGTATGTCCAATTGTTGATATTATCATTAGTTAGTATTTTAATTTCTATCATTTTGCTCTTAAGTGGAATTATTGTGGTCACTCTCTCTTACAGCAACCGATAAATGTTTAATAACATACAAAATACTGCCCAATCAATATCTGAGAGAAATTATGTGTGGTGCATTATCTATTTATCAAAATCCAGGAAATTTATAATTCATTTTGGTTGTTGCAGCAATTTATTTCTTATTCAATAGATTTCCCATAGATAACAAATTATGTATGGTATGCCGTTGATTTTCATAACACAATGGTTTTGTAATGCACATAAATTTATATATTAATTTTTTTTTACATAAATATAGCTAACCACATGTCAAGTCCTGGTTTGAGCAATGCATTTTAAACTACAAATTAGTCGTAGCTTTGAATTCCTACATACTTTGGGTTATACTTATTAATTATCCACTCTATATATTTTTCATTTTTATAAAATTATTTACCGAGTTTTAAACTAATATTTGTCTTAAACTTTAATGTTATGCATCATCAATTAAGCAATTCTTTGAACCCATTATAGTAGTCTTCAGTTGCCTGCGCAAGGTCTCGCTCCTCAAGGTATACCTCTAATGCATGGGCAGGGACGAATGGGCAGCCCTCCATTGAGGCAGAGTCCAGGCCTCTATGGTGACTCATTAAATGCCTCATTACAGGTTTGTATATTTGTCGTATTCATACATATTGAGTAATATTTTCAAAACACTTAAATGCACCATCTTATGTCCAATTTACGGTGCGAAGGTTGTTTGTTGAATTTGATTCATTCCTCATTTAAATTATCTTCAATCTAGGTTCTTCTTATTTAAGGGAAACCCTTCTGAGGATTGTTACACGTAATTTGTTTCTTTATAAACATAATTGATTAATAAATTTCACATAATTTTTAAAAAACAAGATCATTACAAAAAAGTGGATATGAAGAGCTGGGCAAACCTGCACAATCTTTGAGAGGAAAATTTTATTAAAGATAGTCAGGAAAGCTGTCAATACCATAAGTGTTGTGTGAGAAGAGCGCACTTTTTGTTCTTAGATAGTTGTTTGCCTATTTTAAGTTTTATACATGCATTTGTCTATAAATATACATGCATATTAAAAATGGCGTAGCTAAAGATATACCTAGAGAAAACTTGTTTGCATAATTTAATAAACCGCGCCATATAAACAAGCAAAAATTGAATCTTTGTGTTCTTGTTTACATTTTTAATGTAGGCTTTTATTAAATGATCTTTTTAAATAAATAAACTAAAATGTATATCTGTTGTTTAAATTTTTAATGTAAACTTTTACGGAAGGATTTTTTTTAATCTAAACTGACTCATCAGTAAAAGTAGAGATAATTGAGAAAACTGTTTTTATATTTTAACAAATATAGTTCAAAATTCTGAAATTTTAAAAGCCAGGGAAAAAAGTTTTATTTGTGTTTATATTTTAATGTAAACTTTTATAGTTTTCAGTGGGTGTCAATATTTTACCGTACTTTCCATCCTATGATTAAATGTGGTGTCATTATTGACCAAAAATTTTTCATCTTGCAGGCTGCTCTTGCGGAAAGCAACTTGTCCTTCCTAAACTCTGCGATGGCAGGTAGTGGGGCCGTGCCACATACTCCGACTTCAACTCCTACACCTGCTGCCACTCCTGACTGTGTAACTTCCCAATCTCATGGCACATCTGCACTGAGCGAAGCTGAGCGTTACGTTGTAGAAATGATAACACATGGAATGAATAATTCAGCTGTGTAAGTTACCCTAAACAGTAATGTCTTTCATTATTTGGTTCTTCCATAACTCACAAGGTTTATAATACGCCATTAAACCATGCATTTTTTTACATTAAAAACAACCTTTTGTGAAGATATAACTTCACAACTTTCTATTCTATAACTATGTACAAATTAATACATTTGGAAAATAACCAGAACTGATACAAACCAGGTACAAATATTACTGTTAGAGAACAGCTATTTGTGACAGAAACAAGATGCAGAGTTACACAATATATGTCCACAAAATTTATAAGCGTGAAATCAAATTCTAGCTGGCATCAGACATTGAAATCGAGAGTTTATATATTGGGAATGGATTTCAGTATTTGGTAAACAATGCAATAAAAATAACAGCTTAATAAATCCACTTGATGAATTTGTTGCTCTCAATCTCTTTTTGAGCCATTTACAGGATGCAAAAGAAATATAACCGGTGGTAATTTTTTATGAGTACTTCTTTGGCAAAAAATCTTCTATCAAAAAGAACTACCTTAGTAGGAATTATTTGAATGAATAAAAGGGAATTAAAAGAACCTGCAAAACAAAAGAAAGACAATCAAGCAGGTTTTTGTACTTTTATTGTACTCTGACAATCAGCAAAAGCAAATGGAACAGAACATGTCTCTAAGTTCAAAGTAGAAATGTGTAACTTTGAACATAGAGAAATTTTCTACTCTGTTAGAGGAAGCAGGTAAATTGAAGGAACAGGTAAATGTATACCTGAAGCTATTGCTTTTTATAATAACACTAAATTTGATGCAGATATGACGAACCAAATGGCTAGAAAATACAGCAGTTAAACTAAATCTTGTAGATGACCTGTTTATGTATTTTCAACATTTTGGATTTAGTTACTATAAATACTTGACACGGATTTTTATTTCAGTTGGCAGTTTTAATTATTACATGATATAGTGTTTTATTGCCTATGCTAAATTCTGTATTAATTGTAGTCAATTTTAAAAAAAATACAACATCAATTTGAAAAGCAGTAGAAATAAGTATAGATAAAATGTTGGCAGATTTAGTGTTAATTTTAAATAATTCAAATAGCTGCTTCTATGCGAAAGCTCTTAATAAATAGTCTGTGAATAACTAAATAATTACATTTATTCATACTCTCAATTCAAGAATATTACTATGGCAATTCTAATTATATATTTTTTTTCAGCAATGGGTCAAATATTCACATCAAACAAGAGCCAATGTCTGATGAGCCAGGACACATGTGTCCTCCAGACATGCAACATCGAATAGATGAAGATGATCGACATTCTGACGTAAATTCTGATCATCATGACGTCCATGATGAAGATCAAGAAGAGGATATGGAGGAAGCAGAGGACTTATCACTCTCATCATCTATAAACTCTGAGCCTCAGGCTACTACCTGTCCTTAAACGTAATTTAATTAAAGCTTGTGACACCAAGCTATGCCTGAACCTTGTTCGCCGTGCATTTCGTAACATAGAAATTGTTCAAGAGGTGGTCAAGATTTGTGTCTGAATGTTCACAGTTCAATCCCTTTATTTTAGTAAAGTCAGTTCTAGCCACATTGTGTTCCTCAAAAATACTGTTATGATAAAACATGTCCAAAATACAAAAATGGCAGTCCTTCTATAGAAAGCCTTCGGATATATATCTCCCATTAAATTAATAAAAGGACTTGTTACATTTAGCCTTATTTAAATATTATCTAACTCATTTTTTTAATATTCTGTGTTTCTTCAATTACTGTTCTGATAAACTATGTGGAAAATAATTTTTTTTTAAAAAAACAAGTCTTTTGATTAAAAAAAACATCTCAAAATGCAACTCTCATTAAATTAAGAGAAAGGCTTGTTACTTAAAACCTTATTTTAATATTGTATAACCTAGTTCTTAAATGGTAACTCCCATTAAATTAGCAAAAAATCTTGTTACATTAAACCTTACTTAAAGTAATATTGCAAAACCAATTTTTTTTCATAAATTATGTAATTTCCAGTAGTTAATTCTTGTATTCAGACTTCAAGACTTCAAATTCTAGTTCAGACTTCAAATCGTATGCACCACCTCAATCAAGTCATCTCGTAGCTGATAGCAGCTAAATCAATTTTCCGGCCAAATCAGCTCTCCGAAAGTATTTAGTGAGAGTTTTTCAACTACCTTGGGAAGCGAGAAAATTTGTGTTAATCCACATCAAGGAATACCTCACTTTGATTGCAATATATACCTCACTTACAATTGCAATTGTTATTGCGCCTCCTTCCTCTTAATTTGTTCCTGGGCCCTCACTCAACGAGAGCCATTGCACCGGTGATGAAATTGAACAGTAAGTTAGAAGAAATGAGCATTTTTCTCATTGTTAATTCTAGGCAGTATAAGGGATTGTTCATTTGACTGCCATTAACAGAGATTGTGACATTTTTTTAGAAAAAAAAGGAAGTGATTTTATAGTTAGTCTTGTGAAGTGTTATAGGGATGCATTCATTTTTATAGTTGTAAAGAGATTATGATGAAAGAGCTAAATTGCATTCGAGGACTTTGTCATCCAGTTTTAAAATAGATACAATTTCTTTAATTTCAGTGTACTGTGCTGAGTATGTATACACACACAAATTATATATATATATATACTGAAATTGATTTTTTAATGGAAGTCCATGCCAGAATAAAAAATCATTCCGTGTAAAACATAATTCTGGTTTATTGTATTATGTGCTTGTCCAGTTTTTGTCTTGTGTTAATTGGCATGTGAATGAAAAAAAAGTAACAAATACATGTTTTGCTAATCCATAATTGAAATAAGAAAGCCTCAGTGTTGCCAAGAAATATATTTTCCTTTTATTAATTTTGCTCATTTTTTTAATAACTAGGCGCTTTTCTTTTGCATTGGATGGAGAAAACTGATTTCTAAGTATAGGATCATTGTCATTTGTATATAGTTATAGCATATAATATTTAATTTTGTATTTGTCAAATGGTTAAGCATGATAAGCTTTTGCCCTGAGCCAATTTTATTTGTCCTTAGAGAAAAAAAAATTATTTATTGTTGTTTAAGTTTATAATTTTAAAAAAAAGATAGCAATCAGAAATTCAATATTAAAATAAATTATATTCAATAAAGTAAAGTGAAAATTATAAATAAAATTTTAACATTAGAAATTTGTTTACTTATGCATATAGCTGTATTTTTTAAAATTAGAATTATTAAATTAGAACCTATAAAAGTTTCAAAAGCTTATTATAACCTTTTTTGAATTTAATTATACAATTTTAAAATTCCTTTTTATATATTTTTGCAAGTTTAAACTTATTATTAATTAAAGTTGTTTATTACTGACCATTATTTTATTATACAAGGTATTTGGTAAAATCTGACCATTAATGTGTATTTTTAGAAACTATCAAAGAATGAAATAAAGAAAGTATTCATATTGGTGGTTTCAAATTTATATTTAAGTAAGGAGAAAATATAAACGCTATCAAAATTTGGCAAACTAGTGTAAAGGAAGGCAAAGGTAATAAGCATCAGAAGTGGTTTTATAAGAGGTTAAACGTATATGTGTTTTTAATAACCGCTTTTGGACTTATCACTGTTTCCTTTTGCAATCAAAATTTTCCTAGTTGCTTATTACGTTCTCAAATTTTGTTTTTCCTCACTTAAATATTGATTTGTGACCCCCCAATATGTATGTTTTTCAAGTTTTATTTTTGATTAAGATCCTAAACTTACACATTAAGTTTTTGCAGAGCACCATGTATATATATTTATTATCCAATGTTTAATTTAGCTAATTTTAATCCAAAACTAGTATTTTAGACTCTTTTTTTTATTAATTTTTGTCTACCATACCCCTGGGCAATATGATAATTGAATCAACTGCAAAGGCAAAAGTTTTTCATTCTGGTCTTTAAAAATCAGTTTTCCCAAAACATTAAAACTGTTACTATTTTTGTATAGAATTATGTTGTGACAATTCATTTTATTTTTTTGTCTATTTTTGTGCCATGAAGAATAACCCCTGTGAAGCCTCCACTTGTTAAATCGAACACATAGTTTTTTCAATTTCTGTCTTTTAATTAAATATGATCTAATGACTGAGACATTTTTTTTATTTTATTTCTTAAAAAGACTCTTAAAGCAAAAGAAAATACTCATTATTTATTATTATTAAAATGTATAAATAACTGATTTGATTGGATATTCTTGCATTTTATTCTTCTAAATATAATTTAATCTACTGTAAAACAAAAAATCATACATGAAGTTGAATGTTTAAAAAAAAATATCAGTTAATTTATTAGGATACTTAATTGTTTTGTGAACAAAATATTTTATTAGTTTTTGTGGGGAAATCTAATTCTTTTTTGTTACGTTGCTTATTTTATCTTGATTATATTCGATGAAATCGATTTATAATCTAAATTTGCTTTCATTTGTAAATAGCATTAAGGTGTGAGGTTTTCTTCTGAATTTTACTAATAATTATTTAATACTTTAGAAATCTATTACAAGCTTAACATATCAATCAAATATTTAGAATAACTTGATTAGCTACAATGTTAAAATTTTTACATATCAAACTGTTAAGGATACAAAGAATATAATTGTTTTTTTTTTATTTCATAACAGGCATTATATTTTTGTCCTCATTTGATTCCATATATACTTAATAATTAAGTAGTTTGTTTTTATGTTTTCATTTCACAAATCACAGTGCAACAATGTTTAATTAATCACTTTTATGGTTTCTAATATCAAAACTTAAATTGGTTTATATTTTAACTATTAAAAAATCATTTTGAATTTGAGTATGTAAAGTGTCTGGATGATGAAAATCTAGTAAAATTTAAATATTTTAGGATACATTGATAAGTTTCAATTTTGTCAAAAAAAATTCTGCTCTTGTTGCCCAACAATTACATTACTCTACAAATTATTCTTTTGTTTCTCATTTTAATTATCTTTGGTTTCTTATTTTTTTAAATTGATTTTTCATATCAATCTAAATTTTTATTTAATACTTTACACTTAGAAGTTGACCAAGTTGATTATTACTTTGAATTTGAGTATGTAAAGTGTCTGGATGATGAAAATCTAGTAAAATGTAAATGTTTTAGGATACATTGATAAGTTTCAATTTTGTCAAAACACATTCTGCTCTTGTTGCCCAACAATTACATTACTAGTATAAAAATTATTCTTTAGTTTCTCATTTTTATTATCTTTGGTTTCTTATTTTTTAAAATTGATTTTTCATATCAAACTAAATTTTTATTTAATACTTTACTCTTAAAAGTAGGCCAAGTTGATTATTATTTTATTAATTAAGCTATCATAAACAAAAACGATTGTTAATTTTGTTGCTACGTATGCTGCCCATTTTTTTTTTATCTTAATGCTAAAACTCTAAATGACACAATTTCAAAAACTTATCATAAGCAGACATGTAGTACATAAATAAAAATTCATATCATATTTTTTGAAGTTTATTCAGTGTTTGTGTAATTAACTTATAGTACTTTTAGACTAAGTTTAATCTTGCATCAAAATTGAAACTTTGCTTATTCTGAAGTACGGCAATAAATTTCAGTTGATTAGTTTTAAAGTGCTGCTTTAAAATAATCTTGCTGCAATTCTGTCTTGAAAATATTTAAATTGCAGCAAAGTTTTTCTTTTCGCCATTTCACTTTTAATTTTTTTTTATTTATTGTAAATTAGTTTTGTGATAATAAAATTTGTATAAATTTTATTCTTGCATTTATGAAATTAAACACCTTTTTTGGTGTTACAACTTCAATGATGTGGTTAACTGTAATGGTGTAATTGTATGAATTGTAAAAATCGGGAGGGGGGTTCTGTGTTATAGAAATGTTGGACAATTGTATTTTTGTAGTTTGCACACAGAAATTAGTCTTAGAGGTCATTTCCATATGATGACGCTTGTTACATGTGTTATACTATTTACATGAGAAAAACTACATCTAAAATGAAGTAGTTTTTGTTTTGTTTCCCAATACAAGCTCGAGAATTAATTTAAAAAAAAGTTTCAACATATTGAAAAATACTCTTGTACATACAAAAAAGTGTTAAAAATCAAAATTAACATCAAAAAAAAATACTTGTGCCTAATTTTAGTGTTAATTACTAGGATTGATAATAGGTTAATAAGGCAATTTTTTTTTTTTTTTTAGTTCCAAGTTTTATTTACAACTTTAATGTTTTTAGATAAAATTTTGGAAAATCATATGGTAGATTAAGCATTCCCTGTAAAATAAATATTCCATTCAAACCCTTTTAGTTAGAATTCCGGATTTCTAAATTAGGAAGCATTTTTATTTACATAAAAATTAATGTTTAAATCAAAACACACTTAATATTTAAGTTAATCATAAAATACCAATTGAATATTTCCTTATGTGTTATTCATCTTAATCTAGTCTTTAAAAGTTCCTGCAAAAACCAGTAAAAATGGTTTCTTAATTATTTCACTTTTTTTTATGCGGTATTTATATCATAACAGTTTACAAAAAATCTATATTAGTTCAAATAGTGTTAAATGCTGAATTGATGTGCAGACAACAATCAAATATTTCCAGTAATTTGCGTCTGTAAATAAATACCTCAGGTTTCTCCCTTCAATTTAATGTCTAATTCTAACATTTTGTACTAACAAACATAATACAACAATATACTAAATTATCTTTTTAGCTGGCCTGTAGAAATTATTTGTGCTATTTACAACATTAGTTTGATATGTGTTTTCCATTTTTAAATCTTTTTATTTATATTTGAGGTTGATGAACAAATTTTACTGGATTAAAATTATTTTTAAAAAAAATGCCCTTTAATATGAAATTAAAAATTTAATTTTATCCCTTTAAATTGCATAGACCCTATAATCTAAATTATGATGAATTAATATTTTTGTTGACTAAAATCTTAATTGAGCGTGTATTTTAAACAAATAAGCTTTCAAATTTATTGTCTAATGTAGCAATTTATAATCAGAAAGTATCAATGTTTCAGATTGTATTGTGATATTTCTTCAATTTAACTAATTTACATTGGTCAATATTTTCGTTACTAAAATTAAATTAATCCCTAATGTCAACATTTCCTAATATTTTGCAATATTTCACCTTTTTAATTAATTTACACTAGTCAATATTTTCTTTACCCAAATAAAATTAATCTACCTACACGATAATATTTGCAATGTTATTTCATTCGATATTTATTAATGCCAATTCTATCTGGTAAAGCTAATGATATCATGTTTGACATTTATCATTCATGTTATTTCAATATATATCGCCCACCTGTATTAATTTGTGTAGATCTGAATTTTACTTAATGCTTATGATTAAAATTACTACAGTTTAGAAAGCCTTCCAACCTGGTTTCTTGCTATGATGCTAC